AGGAATAAGAAGGAACAGTCACAGGTGAGGTGATAGTGGAGGGGAGGTTAGGATACTCTGCTAGTAGTCACTAAGGCAATTACACTGCTGACTACTTCCCTCCAAGTGCTTGACTGACATATAATAGTAAGAGGAAGGAATAGGTCTTCTGGCCATGTGTTCTCACAAAGAGATGTGCAGGAGCCCTGGTGGATGAACCACCAGGTTAGAAGTGCTAGTGATGCAGCCTCCTCCTACACTGAAGGGTAGTAGTACTTTGCTTAGTCAAAATAATCTTTTTTCTCTTGAGGAAAACAAAGAGAAGATGCTTGAATGACTGACCACCACAGCTGAGCAGGGGATGGTCTTCAGAACTGGAAAGTCTTTAGAATTGTCCTCCATCTACAGGCATTGGCTCTGATATTTTACTGCTGACAGATACAAGGGCTTTGAGAAGGGTCAGGGACCTGGCAGACATGAGTAGTATTTTCCTGTCTCCCCAAGTAAAAACATAGTGGACAGATGACACCTATCTTGGCTCAGATCTGTGCCACTGACCTGCTCTTTCCTTGGGTTGCTCATCATGGTAAGGTAAGACATGGACCTCTTCAGCACCTTGCTTGAGAAACCACAACAGGGAACACACCTGATTTACTTGAAAAACAGTCATCACTTCTGACATTTGAAATTGGAAACCAAGTGTTATATGGGTATGTGGGTTTTGCTAGCATTATGGGGGTTTTGCAGCAACCAATTTTTGCAGCAGGCACTGAGACTGACAAACTGAATATATACCAAAGAGGAGCGACTGATGGTTACAGATCCGACTATTGATAGAGACTCTTAATGGTCCCTGTGTTCTCTGGTGACCCTTGGGTTAGTGCATTTGCTTGAGCCATTGCAGGCACAGAGGAAGAGGGTCTGAACTTGGCAGTGGGTATTTACCAAGAGACTGGATGGCAAGAATTGGAAGAGCTGTGGAAGCTGGAGGCCAGCACTGATGTTTCAGTAGGCAAGAAAGCATTGGCAACTGACACAGAGCAAAACACCTCTGAAGAGCATAACCAGAAGAGCATTACCAGAAAGACCTGTCAAAACTGATGGAAAATCAGGGGACTAGCAGAAATCGTAAGAATAAGCAGGACCATACATACACGATTCCTGATGATGCTGAACACAGTCCTGCACACTGACCACCCCCAAATGGTGTTGGAGGACCACAAAGCCCAAGAACTGAGGGGTCTCCACAGTGATAGGACCTGGAATTTTCTCCACTGGGAGAAACAGCTGCCAAACTCTGCAAGCTTTGTTTGTCAGTGGAAGCTGATCTGACTGCTTTGTAATAAAATACAGAAAACACCTCTTCAGGAAGCCAGTAGACAAGACTAGAGAAAAGATGTAGGGAAGAAGAGATGCTTTCTGTAGCATAGCTCTGCCCCATCTTTTCTGTCAGCTAGAATCCCCCAATACACAATGTATTTTGCATGTCTCGGGACCGTACTGTCTCCATTTGCACCTTTTAAAGTCCTGCATAGTAGCACAAAGGGGATGGCACAAGGAGGTTGTGGGAGACAAGAAAACTGTGCTATGGAAGCAAGAGACCCTCATCAGTATTTGTGCCATCAATACTTTGGGGAGGAAGAAAAAGAGAATTCAAAACCCCAAACCCCACACTAAATTTGCACTTGTTCTCTCAGGCTGGCAGCCTAGAAGTTCATAAACTCAGAAGTACCTTGTTCTGGAGCAAACTGGTCTGAAAACAGTTTCCAGTGGCTTCCCCGAGTTTGCTTTGCTGGTGGCAGCCCTTCGGCTCCATGCTGGCACATGTATGTATGAAGCTCTTTGAACAAGTTTTGACCTTCCTTTAGCCCCTCTGCCCATCAAGCCAGTTAATGACATGCTTCGTATTGCACAGAACACATACAATTGACAAGTTCATAGTGTTGTTTAAATATTAAACAGTCTAGACAGGCTTTCAGTCTTATGCCACTATGAAAAGGCTCAGACCATACCCATCTCTGAAATTGGGCTGCGGGATCATTTGCACAGTAAGACAGACAATAAGACTTGTATACATTGCCATGCAACAGAAGAGACCCCGAACCGCCAGCCCTAAGTGGAAAGTTTATTTCTAAGCACAATATATGGAAAAACCAAACCAACAAACCCCACAGATATAGAAAAACGTTGTAGCAAATCCCTGGTCAAGTAGGACTTCATGTCTGTCACTACCCTGCACCTCACAGCCGCTTAAAATGTCATGCAATGGAGGAGAGGGCACTCAGACGACACCCTCCGCTTCAGATCAAGGAGGATCTCCAAGCAGGAGAGGGCTGATGGGACTCCTGCTGAGTGATTCGTACTGTAACCAGCAAAAGGGCACCGCTGCTCACCCCCACCACACGCTTTGTGACTACCGGTGGTAGATTTAGCACTTCAACAGGCTTTAACAACGTGGATTCTCACAACACCCCTGTGAGGTAGGTACGTATTGTTATTCCCCCTTTGTGTGGAGGGGGGACTGAGCCAAACAGCCCAAGGCTACAGAGTCGGTGGCAGAGCTGGAGTGAGAGTATGCAGAGTCCTGTGTGCTCAGAGTACTAGATCACACCACTCTTTCACGGCAAGTTGTGCTTCCGACCTCATGAACTTTTAGCCATTAGCCAAATTAAAGGAATTTGACTTCTCTATATTAAGTGAGCAGAGGGCAGGGAGGGAAGCAGCACCATGTCTAACAGTTGTCCCTTTGTCTGTGTACGCTTCTCCCTTCCCAAAACCACCATAAGTCCTCATCTCTTGGAATGAGAAGAGCTTCCAGGACAAGCATGGGGGCAAGAGGCTGTTGTGTTTGCTTGCTTTGGCCAGGTTTCTCTCTACTGTGGATCAGAAGTGGTTCTTCCAGAGCCCATTCAGTGCAACACCTTCATTCTGGGGGTAGCTGCTTTTAGAGATGATCGGAATTGCCCCTTCCCCTCTGCCCACCAACATCCCTTCCCTCCCCTCTGCCAAAAGCACTCTTTGGTAGATAGTAAGACTGCTCAGATAAAGGTACAGTGGCCTCAGAAGCCATGCTGTTTCACAGGGGTCTTCAGTAAGTCAGCTTTCTTAGCTGGTGATTCACCTCCCACATTCTCTGCCAGAGAAGTACCTGTTCTGTTGCATTTTGATATTCAAAGGGACACTGTCAAGTAATCGAGGTGAAAAATACAACCTGCCTTAAGATGCTAACCTCCATCTTCAACATTGCAGAATGGCTGGTGTGTTCAAACCTGGAGGCTGAAGTTTGACACCTTCTCCGGTCCAGAAACACCTGACCCATGACAGCCTAGCTGCCAAAGGAGCTGGTGGCTCCAATAGAGGCGCTGAGAGGTGCTGGTACCATGACAGAGGGCAGTTGGACACAGCCATTGTGCAACGTTGCTCAGCAGTGCTGCTAAATGGCTGCAGTTTGGCTGAAGTCCTTACCTTAATTTTGGAGGGAGCTGTGTTCAGGCTTAATCACTACGGGTTCATTGTTTTGGGATTGCTAAACTGTTGCTCCCCAATTAGCTAATCTCTGTAAAAATACAGAACCCTAAAAATAGGGTTCCTGCTCTTACACTTCCTTTGTGGCAGTTGCACTGGCAAAACCACTCAACCCCGCAGAGCTGGGACATACCCTCCATAAAGCAAGGACAGCCAGCAGGAAATCAGTAACATGGATTTCCTCCTGTCGCAGAAGAAAGGTGGGGAGGAGAAGGACGGGGATGGTGAAAGGAATGGGGTTAGTGGAGAGAACGATACATGCCCAAATGGAAAAGGACAAAATCAGTAAGGAAAGAAATTTTATTTTCAAGCTTGTAAGAGAATATTACAAACAATGGAGAGTAAAAAAAGCCCAAACCCTAAAAACTATTTAAAAAGTACTTGACAGTGTCCCTTTAATATCCACAAATGATTCAGCCATTGTGCATTGAAAGAGAATGTTCCTGAAGAGCAACTGGTACCTTTGAGGATATATCCCAGAGAAGGAGACTTATTAGGAGTGTTACATATTCGATCAGCAACTGTGCTGCCTCTTCGGACTAACTCTCTCCTGAATGATTGAATGGAATAGACTCTGTAATAAACTAACGGACTGAATGTGAAAGGCTCAGCCTATGAGACTGAGTGAGACAGTTGCAAATTGAGCAGCAGGGATACAGACACCAAAAGAAAAAAGATGTACACCTCTAATGCATGAGTGTCTGAATCAGCAAGGAAGCAGAAACCCACTGAGATGGGTCAACTTCTTGTGATAGGAGTAAAATGGAAGGAAATTAACCTGGAATGTCTGCATGGAAAATTATGTGTGTGTGTGTGTGTGTCAAGACTTGGATGCTGGATTTGGGATTATGAAGTCATAAATCACACCAGTACTTGTGCTTGAAACACCTGCGGAGCGTTTGTACAAAATTTGCCAAAAATGCCTATATGTTGAATAAAGGTCATGGAGCGCCCTCCCCCCTCCCAGTTCCACCCTCACAAACCCCTTTTCAGGAATATTACGAAAAAACCAGGATTTTTGGTGAAATTTGGGTATGCCTGGGTTTTGTTAGATTTTCTTGGTGGGGTGATTCCATCTCTCTTTCTGTAAATCAATACTGAAAAATCCCCAGCCATTTACTTCAGGTATCCTATGGTAAATCGAACAAGGCTGCAGAGTGACTCATGAAACAAAACAACTCATAGCCTTGGTTAATCACAGTCTGGAAAATAAAAATACTCCAAATATTTCATTCCATTCCTTGTTTTTATAAATCTCACACTGTGTGTTTGTGTGCGCGTGCGTGTGTGTACGGGGGTGTGTGTACAGAGCATTACCTATTCCAGGTAATAGGATTTGTAAGACATGCTAAACCGTCTGTTCCTCTGCTTCCCCAGAACTCTGCCTACTCAGTTTGTAGTCTGTATTGCACTTGTTTTGTTAGGTTTTTTTGTGATTTGTGTTTGTTTTTTTTTTCGTTTTTTTTTCTTTTTTTTTTTTTTTTTTTTTAAACTGGCTGGAAAACATTAACCTCTTTAGCATGAGTGTGCAGCTCTCCCTCCACCTGCTTTTTTCCTCAGCTGGCCAGGTGCCGCCTCTTATATCTTGTGCAGTTACCGAAAAAGAAAAGGAGAGGAGGGAAAAAAAAAAAGAAAAAAAAGAAAAAAGGAAACAGAAAGAAAAAGGCACACCATGCTCCTCTGCTTTATGAGTTCTTTGTCTCCTCCACTTCGTGTTAAGGCCTCCTGAATTCCTCGGCTCAGACCGTCGTGACCCTCATGACGAGCTCTCTGTTACTACTAGACTGACTCCTCTGTTCGTGAGGCCTCAGGTGGCTGAGTATATGCAGGATGGTATAAGCACAGTGGTGGTCAGAGAGGGTGCCTGTGGCATGGCCGGCAGCCCGTGCCCCGCTGTCAGCTGGAGCGGAGTTAGTGGCTGTACCACCAGTGGAGGACGAGTGGGTGGTTTGGGAGGAGGGGCGCTGATTTGTCCTGGTCCCTGTTTTTTGTTCCTCCATGTCCTTTGTTTTGTCATAGTTCAGCACTTTCCACTGCTGATTGACCGCCTGCCACCGTTTAAAAATCCGGTAAACCGAGGGCCCTTCATGTATTATTAGACCTGGAGGGAAGGGGGAAAGAAATAAACATAAAACAGAAACAAAACTTTAGAAAGAACCATAAACCTACCCCAGCATCCTGCCCCCAGCTAGCTGGTTAGCTCAGCTCTCCCTCAGCCAGCGTTTATTCAACGATAAATCATGTATTTTAATTACCAACTGGCAGAGCACCGGTGCTCTGGCTCTGCTGGATCCCTTTTCCCCTGAATTAAAGGGATTACAGCTTTATCTCAGCAATCAATAAACAGATCGTAAATGCAGCAGAGTGAGTTATGGTCTAACAGCAAAACAGTATCTGTTTACCAATAAATGCCTGAGGTTTATCTATCACTGGACTGGTTTTGCATGCTGCATAGGCATGATTCACCCAGCTCACAGCGTATGTTTGGAGGGGGCGTAACTGGATCTGACGTGTCGGTGACGTCTGTTGCACCAGCGTCATGGGTGTGCACAGCCCAAGTCTCTCCCCACACACACACCAGCAGAGCAGACACGCACATGGAGGCCAGAGGCAGCAATCAGGCAAAAAAAGGGTCTGTTTATACCTGGAAGTGGTTTGTCAACCTAGGCAAAGTTTTCCTCATCTGCAGACCAGGTACCTCATAGTACGTCATTGCTCCCTTCCAAGGGGGAAAACAACGTGGTTGAAAGAGAGGACAGATGAGCAATACACCGTGTGTGCACTGAGTATGCACATAACGCATATGTCCTGCTACCCATCTGCCTATACCACAGCTGATGTCCAGGGGATGGCTCTGGGCTGTAAGACACCTGACTTCTAATGGACTCTGTATTTGAAAGAGAATGAGTAGTGCAGGCCCTTCCACACAGCAGTTAGCTCACCTCCCAGCAGTCTCTGTCATCCTCCCCACCCTTGCAAGAGGATTGAAGGGTTAAATAATGTTAGAAGTTGTTTGGACGATGACAGTACTTGAGTATTAAGCTCTGTTTTTATTCAGACTGCCAGGCCCTGGCTAGACCCTTTGAAAGCACTAGGTCCAGCAGTGACTGCAACACTGTGCTATTCTGCACTGAGGCTTGAGGAAGCTACAACAGCTCATGTAGCCTGGCTTAGCTTTCACACTGTAATATAATTAACAAGCTTTACTACTAGTCAATGGGATTTATGCAGAATGAGGTGGGTCTGAGTGTCCTTGTTCTGCAGCAGTCTGTCTGTTAGGAAAGTGCCCTTGTGTCCCATGGAACTGAAGCCAGACCAGCAGGTAGGACTGGGTGAGTTACCAGCTGGATAGCTTCATTGTTCTTAATAATGATGGCTGTGCTGTTCTTGGGCAGGATCAGGATTATCAGAAACATTTCTAGGAAGAGCAGCTCTCTTGCCTGCCTGTTGTAAGCATATAAATACAAGAGCAAAGAACAAAAGACCCACAAGAAATAAGAAGCAAAATCATGCCTAAATGAGGAGGTTGCCTTGACCAGCAATGTGCGGAGAGATGGTGGTCACCACAGAATAAAGTGGTTTATGGTTATCCCTGATGTACTAAATGCTACAGCTTTACCCTCCACCTACCTTTTCCACACTGTTCTGGTTTCTGATGGCAAATAATTACTGGAATAAATCTGTGCTACACCAAACCCCAAAATATCTGAAAGTCATCCTACCTTTAGGGCTGATCTCCCCATTACTCACTGATGGGATGCAGCCACCTGGTTTCTTAGGGTCTGCATCTGCTTTTATAGAGTTTAAACCCTAGCTTCAGTATAGACTGAGTTTCTAGCTTCTTTGGTTTTAAGCATAACTAGAAGCCCTGCTGGCTTGATCACAGGTTAGCTTCAGGGGTACTCTCACATTCATTGTAATGGGGTGCTGAGCCTGCCTACTGGCTGTAGAAGAAATTACATTGGCTATTTTGGAACAGGGAATAGCACTGGGCACTACAGTACAAGAAAGATCGTCCCTCTGGTTCCCATAGACCATTGAGATTGCACAGCTGTAATCCTGTAGTGATGCCAGCTTTTCATAACCAAACACCATGATGTCATAATAAAAAAATGTGGTTTCTCCTCCCTACTTTGAAACATGGTTAAGAATTCTGACATATTCTGATCAAAGCATCAACCATAAAAAGCAGGACTTAGGGAAAGCCTGCAGATCCAGCCAAGGAGACAGAGCTTTGAAGCAGGCCTGAAGTGGATCAGCCCATGGCAAGGGACATTAGACATATATTTAAATAAGCTGTCTAATCTGTAATGAATGAAATTCCACTCTGATCAATGACAGAGCCAGTGTTTCTCTGAGACCACTTTAAGCCTCAGATAAAAGAGCCGAAATCGAATGTTTTCTCCTTGGCTGTAGAACATTCTCCACAGAATCAAATCCATTCTCCAAAGTATTAAACACTGAGCCAGGATTGTAAATCTATTCTTAATTACCTTATCACAAATATTTAATGCGCAACCTGATTCAAGAGGGCTGTTTATAAAATTCTTGTTTGTTTGCCTTCTAATTATAAATGTTTATGATCTTATGCAATTAACTGTGTGATGCTGATGGATGGGTTGCTGAGTCAACTGAGCACCTGTTTTCTTAGATAATTTTGGTTTCCAAATATTTATAAAAGTACAAAATAACTTGTTTCCATCTATATTTACTGGGCTCTAAATTACTTATCGATTTCCCAGTGTCAAGCTCAGGAAGCTGTAAAATTAAAAAGGAAGCAAGTGGAGGGGTGGGCAGGGAGGCGGAAGTAACAGTGATTCATTTGCAAGAGTAAATGCCAAGAGTAAGCAAGAGTCCATCAGTTTATATCAAGCTGCAAGATGCTTAATGCTCCCATCAAAACAAATTTTGTCTGCCTGAGATAAATTAGAATTGGAATTCCTACGTTCAGCTCTGTGCGTCCCATTCCTGAAACACCCCTCCCTCAAGGATCATTCTTGTTTACAGAGGCGAAACTTTCCAATTAAAGGCCAGACTTAAGTGGGAAATCCTTCAGGAAGAACTGTATTCAACTAGAAGTGTCCAGTTAGAAGCAGTTATTCTATAAACCACATCCTGTGCATGTGGGGAGGATAGCAGGTTGGTGTGAACTTCTCTCTTTGTGCACTTCTTTCTTTTCAACACAGAAATGTCAATAGGGGAGTTTCAGAAGGATTCTGGCAGTGGCCTGGTCCTTTTCCACTCCTCCCAAGTTTATCTTGCCCTCTTTTGCTTCACAAAATCTGTTCCCAGTGGATCCTCTGTGAAAACCATCCTCTTCAGAAGGAAAATCTCTGTGAGTTTCATGGAAAACGTGTTGGTCCAGATTGTTGCCTGGTCCACCCTTGTTTGTGGTGGTGGTGAAACGAAACTCCTATGGAATGTGGGCACTGAAGATGTGCTGTTCTCATTCCCATTTCCTCACGTAGAGACCGGGCTGGACCAGCATCAGAAGAAATTCCTTGAGCTGAAAATTGTTGAATGCTGGAAGAAGTATTCAGGGGATCTATGATATACACTTGTCTTGTTCTTATTTCACTCTTATGTCTGTTTGTGGCCACTGATGGAAACAGGGCAGCTGGCTAGATGGAGCCTTGGCCATTCTTATATTCTTAGACATTTCTACTTCCACTGGCTTCTGCCATGAAAAGATTTCCCAGATGACTCTGGAGCTGGACACAGCCCATATTATGTGATGTGGTCATTAATCTGACAGCAAAGTCTACAAAAAAATTTCTAATGCTTCTGCTTGCATTGGCACATTGATGTGGCTGTGCTGTTCCCAGGACAAGATACAGCTCAAGTAACTCTGAGCTAACACGGCAGGGCTAACCTAGTGCAGTGTTCTGAATTAACACATGCTGAATCTGAAACAATATGTACAGGAAACCATACTGATCTCGTTACTGTGTTCACTCTCTCCATATATTAGCCTCTTCTGCTCTTTCTCTTGTGGCTTTACTATTATTAAGTCCATGCAGCAGGTCAGATCATGGCCAGCCCTGTGGAGCTCTACAGAGTCCAGGCAGGAGGGACTAGTGATTATCCTGGGTGCAAGGATTACTTCCCAGAGCTGAGAAGCTGCTTTGTGCTTCACAGCACTGGCAAACACAGTAACACTTTGGCAATAGGTGATACCAAAACTGTACACGCCGCTTACATTGGTATCTTACACTTCGTTTCATTTTTATACATGGGAGAGTACCCAGCACCTAAGCACTGCTTTTATGAAAAATTATCATCTTAAGTGACCCAGCCCCAAAGAGCACAGAGCCTGTTTCCAGACTGGATTTAAAGCAACAGGTAGGGAACACCAGTAGCACAAGGTTAGGGTTGTGTCAGTGCAGTTGGATACCCAATCAGCAACAAGCCCACACCATCTGGGAGAGCAAGCTGACTACTGTTGACTGTGGGGAAAGACTTACCTCTTCTATTTACCCCCCAACCTCACTCTCATTTTCATCCCAAAGCAAGAATAACTGGACTGTTCCTTTTCCAGATGACCGAGATGCAACGTGCAACAGAGCTAGTACTGGTGAAAGCAGTTTAATTTCCATGTTCTACTGATTGCCACAGCTAACCCTGAGCTTCTGGACTCTTAAAATGCAAGACTTAGAAAGTGGAGCATGACCAAGGGTGAGTATCATGGCCCAGAGGTAAGCTTCATGTCAGTGTAGGATTTCTCTGAGCCTTGCAATACCTGCCCACACCACATCATGATCCACGTGGGCAGTCTCTGTGCAAGGAATTGTTCTTGGTGCTGACAGTGGACACATGGGCTGTATGCAGGTGGCCCTTTGTCTCCTGGGATTAGTCAGGACAGAGGTGTATTGCCATCAGTGGGCCTGTGGCAAGACTAGTCAAGAGAGGTCCTCGGCCCAGTGGCTAGAAGAGCTGTTGGAAGAACATGGGCAAAACACAGAAGTCACAAAGACAGCTGTGTTTGTGCCTCCAGATGGGCAAGGAGGGATCAGTCAGTGTACCACCATCCTGTGAGATTAACCCAAGCAGTTGTGAGCCTCCAATTTAAGGCAACTTTGGAGCAGCAGTTTCCCAGAAATGACAAGCAGTCACCTTCTGCACATTGTCAGCCTCTACCACCAAGTAATCTTTTCACCAGGACTTTCAGCCTCTAATTAACTGCCCTCTTATTCCAACACTTGACATGCATTTTCTTGAAAGAGACAGGTAAATTCTTGGGGCAGGAACTGTTTCTCCTGTTTGCCAGTAAAGGAACAACCAAAACAAGGCTTGTGCTGACACTTATATTATCTACAGGAGGAAAAATCACACTCCATTCCAGCCAGTTACTCTGTCCCGCATCTCATAAAGCCCCCGTCCAGCCACCTGAGTTGTCACCTCATTTCCACCTTCAGCAGCAGCATTGGTTTCATAGAATCATGAATTATAGAGCAGTTTTGGTTGGAAGAGACCTTAAGATCATCGAGTCCAACCTTTGTCCTAGCTGTATCAACACCACTAAACCATGTCCCTCTGTACAA